GAGAATGCAAGAACAGCCCAAGTCATGAGTTTACAGTGAAAAGTAGAGGACATGACTCTGGAAAGAGAAGGAGTGTTGTTAGAAGTGATGCTGACAGGGAGTAAGAGTTTTAAGGGTAAACCGGAGGCAGATGAGAATAAACTGCTAAGTAAAAAACATAAACATCCTGGGTAAGATTTCTAAGCTGGAAACAGAAAACCAGAGGGTTTTTTTTTTTCTTAGCAGATTTCAGGCATCTTTTCATCCATTGATGTTGACTTCCTCCTTTTTCCATGTAAAACACACGGAAAAGTGAAAGCATATAGAGGTGACAGATTGTAACGATGAAAAGCACAGTGCAGAGCAGTGGTTCTCAAGGTGTGGTCCCTGGACCAGCAGTATTACCTGGAAATTTATTAGGAATGCAAATTCTCAGGCCCTATTCCAGACCTACTGAGCCAGCAATTTTAGGAGTAGGGCCACTAATTTAGGCTTTGACAAAAACTCTCAAGGTGAATCTAATGTGTATCAACGTTTGAGAACCACTGGTATAGCGATTAAGAGTACGATGACCGCAGCCAGATGGCTGTATTACTTCGGGCAATTCATTGTGTGTGTGTTTGTTTCTCATCTGTAAAACTCCGTGTGGTAATGAAGACTAAATGAGCTCAAGTGTGTAAAATCCTTAGAACCATGCCTGGCCACTGTTAAATAAATAAATGTTAAATAAATGTTTAGATACTAATAATAATAATACTCTTTATAGGTGTTATTTTAATTTTTTTTCACAGGCTACATTTCACAATTTATGACAAGGCTTTGTGTTTACCAGATCTTCTCTCCTGCTATCTTAGAGTTATTTTCCACGGCTCAAGGCAGTACTTCTCAGCATGTGCTCCATGGACCATTTGCATTAAAATCACCTATGGTGCTTATTAAAATGCAGATTTTCAAGTTCCACCCAGACCCACAGCATGATAGAATTCTCTAGTGACACTTCTGCACCCAGAAATTTGAAAACCACTGCTCTTGGATAACAAAGACTATGATCTTCATTTTGCAAATGGGCACAAGGCACAAGGATAGCGTATGCTTAGGGAAATCCAGAATCTCAGTAAGACCAGGAATCAGAACTGGATTTCTGATTTGGTGTTATCTTCACAGACTATGCTATCTCTTTGTAGTTTTATTTGCTTTATCAGGAACTTGATTGGGGTTGTGCCACTTTGTTTACTGAGATCTAGCATTATTTAGTCTAAAAATAACATTTACCTTGTAAATCTAGAACTATCAAGAATGATGAGTTCCTGGAAAATATACCTGGACCATTATCCATCACACAGCTGCAACTGTTCCAGTTGTGGATGTATCTAATACATCATCACTCTTATGTTACAGATGAAGCAAAAGGGCCCAGAGAGGTTGAGGAAATTGTCAAAAGTCACATGACTAGATAATGGCAGAGCCAAGAATAGAGCTGGGTCTCCCAAACGCCCATTTAGTGTCCTTTCACCATATCCCACTGTCCTAATCCTTGCTGATAAATGATTTAAAGCAGCACTTAAAATTTTTAAAAAACTCTACTTATACTGCTCACATAAAATCTGTTCTCAGCAGTTTTTGACCTCCTTTAATTTCTTTTACTTAAAAATATGCTAACATCACATCTTTCTTTTTGTAATTGCGATAAATCAATCATATAATAACTAATAACTCGTAACTCTATTGCATATTGCTTTTTCATCAGTGCAAATTTGACAGTTCTAAAGCGATTGAATTGACTTTTCAGGCTGTGGTGAAAAAGCTTGGGGCCTTTTCACACAGGGCCTACAGGTCTTGTGTACATTGTTCTAGTACAGGTAAGCTCCTACACAGTGTCAATATGCATTTAGACAACTTAGTTCTTAATTTTGAGCCCACACAGGGATATCTGTCTACATCTACAAATTACACTCATGTGATTGGTGGTGGTGGGGGGGTGCTATTCACACCAGGGTCACTTGATTATTTTATAAAATAATTTTCTTTTTGTCTTAATTGTTTGTGCTTTTCATATTATATATGAACTTCAGCTTATTTCAGTTATCTTCTATTCTTCTTCCTGCTGAGAACGGAATATTTGTAGTCTTAGTGCACTCCTATACTACCTCTACCTAAGGTAAGTTTTTTCCATCTTACCCTTAGCTAGTTCACTACTACCTACTACCTATTACCTAGTTAACTACTCCTCATTTTTTAGGTTTCAGCTCAATTGGTACCTCCTCATAGACATCTTTCTTTCCCTTATTTCTTTATAGAAGAAGCTCCCTGCCCCCATACCCTGCACTCTTTATCACTTTACAGAGTTTATTTTCTCATGGCACATCACAATATGCAATTTTTCTGTTTATTTGTTTGCTTTTTTTATTATCTCTCTCTCTCCCCATTTGACTATAAGGTCCATGCATCTATTGTGCAGAAGAGGTATCTATTTTGCTCCAGTACCAAGCACAATGCCTGGCACGTAGTAGAGGCTCAATCAACATTTGTTGAATGAATGATGTGTCTTTGTGAGTTGGTGTGGAATTTTGTAGTCTGCTTCCAGGGGTATAAGTATGTGTCAAGTCTTGGTCTTTTATAAAAATCTCTTTTGGATTATCTCCTTCATTGATGGACACTAACCTAGACATAGGGTTGTGTGCCCACACAGTTACCTTGACTTCAGACCTATTAAATGGGCCAGGCCTCCTAGAACATTTGGACCATTGTGCCTTATCTAGAGGCTTTCTAGAGCATTCTAGACCACGATGCACTATCTTCTAGAGCTTGCACTCTATGGTAGTCTCTGGCCACAGGTGGTTATTGAGCACTTGAAATGTGGTTAGTGTGAACTGCCACATGGTGAATGTAAAATACATATTGGATTTTGAAGATTTAGCATAAACAATGTAAAATATCTCACTAATAATTGTTATATTGTTTACTTATTGCAATAATATTTTGGATATATTGGGCTAAATGAAATATATTATTAAAATTAATATCATTTTTATTTTTACTTTTTAAATTTATGTGCTACTGGAACATTTAAGATTATATCTATGGATCACACTTGTGGCTCACATTATATTTCTATTGTTCTAGACCCAAACAGTTCACCCCAGTTGTTTGGCAATGTAGACTGAAGGTGATCCACTGAAGGGGATGCTAAAATTGCTAAAGTCTTACAGCTTGCTCCTTTTTTGTTAGCTGTGCTCTAGGGGAAGGGCTGGCACTCCTGGACAGTGGCTCAGGTACCATTTCAGTACTCCATCAATGTTAAATCATGAAGCCCAGATGAGGTCGTGTCCCAAGACACAGAAACTTTAAATGTCTTGCTAGGGGTCATATATCTTGCTTAGAACAATGCTAGGACCAGAACTCAGGTCTTTCAATTATGCTGAGTCATTGAATTACTTATAGAAGGACCTACTAATAAAATTATATCTTCCTTTTTAAATGCAATACTAGAAAAATTTAAAGAATTGTTAACAAATTATGTAGGTTTTATACAAATATCAATTAATGAGGCAACTACACTTCAGTCTTTAGATGGTTAAATAGTTGGAAAATCATACTGTATACTATTAAACAAACAGAAACTCCTTCTTTTATTTTTGCCACATATGCTAGAGTAGAGCATTAAACTGGGATGACTTTTATTTAGCATAGGAGCATACACTGCAAAGTAAAATTTAAACAGAAATTTGAATATGAACATGGAATCTACTTGTAAGTAAATACAAATCTAATAATCATTCTTTGCATAGATATAAAAACTCACTTGGAGATCATGCACTGCAGTTTGGAAAACTAGTTGCTATGTTTTATTCCAAAAGCCTTCATCACTGACATATCAGGCAAACTTTTCTTCTTAGGTAAAGAGATGGGTTTTTAAATAATTAGCCTCATCATCATGCTCTTATGGTTCATTTGTTAATGTAGCAAATATTTAGTGAGAAGCTACTATGTGCCAGGCATTTCTGTGTGTTCTACGAGCTCAAGATACTACAGTGACCAATGCAGGAAACTTTTGCTCTTTGGAGCTTACATTTCAATGCTTATCTATTTTCTCAATAGGGAGAATGAAATGAAATGGTAAAGTAAATCTAAGCAGTGCTATCCTAGAATGCCATGAGTGATATTTTTGTAAGATGGGAATTGAAATGAATTTGGGATTTTCTATTTGTGACTTTCTCGGGGAATTTGAAAATGGAGATGCATATGGAAAGTGGAGGTGTATAAAACATTATATATCCAGTACTAATTAGTATTTTCAGAATATCAGAAGACACTCTTAAAGCTTCAAATAAATCAGTTAGACTGTGTTAAGGGATTTCCCAATAATTTTGGGGGCCTTGGCAGACTTATTCAGATCTTCTTTCTTCTGCTGGGATATTTCAGTCTATAGCTAACCAGATGTCTTAGTCCTTATACCCATTAATTCTAGGAACTCCCAGTCAGAATGACTTCCCTTCTCACTCAACACAGACTCACTCATTCTTCTTTCACATTTCGAGTCCTTCCCCTTGCACGTTTTCTCCCTTCCACATATTCACTTGCATACACTTTCACAGGTTTCCCTTCATCCTAGCTCCCTTCAAGCAGAGGTTCCTTAAATATGGCATTTTTTCTTAAAGCTCAGCCAGTAGATGTCTCCATTACTCCCTCGTAGCTAAGACCTCGGCAAGTAGGTTTTAATCGTTTCTTTAACGGCCAACAAGGAGGAGGATTTGATAATTTGCCTAAAATGAGCAGATGCTCGGGAGGACACGTCTCCATCCTACGTCCTTCCCCTCTGATTTAAGTCAGAAATGAAAACTCCTTTCTCCCTCTTTTCCAGGCAAAAGAAAAGGCTGATTTAACTAAGCATGCAAGACGCCAACACCCTCCTCCTCAATACGTCCAAGTTTCCTTCGCTCTGAGCCACAAAAGCTCGGCTTTTCCCCTCACTCCCGCCCACCCCACCTCCACACCCTCAGGTTTCCGAGTCATCAGGGAACGCGAGTGGGTGAAAAGACTCGTCTCTGCTGCATCCCGGGCCACCGCTTGCTCCTGCGCCTCCTCCGTGCCGCCTCGGGTTCAGCACTGGACAGCTCCCGCCCCAGCCCCACAAATGGCAGTCGGCTGATTGACAGAGGAGCCAACCAAACAGGGAACTAGACGACTTGAAGCCGCCCTACAAGGGTTTGGTTGCGGCCAAGCTACCTCTTTAAACCGGCTTTCCTCCCTAGAGCAGGGAGAGGCAGGAGTGTGGTTTGTGGCCAAAGCTAAAGACTCCAATTAACCAGCTGCCTGGCCCTCTCGACTCCGGAGAGTCAAACGTCTTAAAAGAAATCTTCGCTCTTTGGGACTCGCTCCTGCGCTGGCGGTGCGGGACTGTGCGCGCGCGCTCCGCGCCTCGGGCGAAACGAACCAGGAGGAGCCAGAGCCGGGAGGCGGGAACGGCCTGCCACGGGTGAGATGATGGAGCAGCGTCTTCAGCGGCCGCGGCGGCAGCAGCAGCAGCAGCAGCAGCTTTTGAACACACCTCAATGAGCGCGGCGGTGGAAGCTGCCGCGCAGAACGACGTAAGCAGGCTAACTATAGCTGCCGGGAACAAGAGGGGATGTAACCTGTTCGGCTCAAGGCTGTGAGGTGCGTAATCCCGAGCCGACCCATTGTGGAGCCGGTGCTGCCAGCGTTGCCACAGGTGATTCGATTTCCTGTGACGGTGGCTTAGCCAGCCGGGTCAATTTCGAAACATTCTTATTTTAAAGTCCTTTTGGACTGGGTGCCATCTGGAGAAGGGGGAAGACTCCTAGTAAAAGTCTTAGTGCTGATAAATTGACGACTAAAATTTAAAAAGTGACTCCTCCCGTTACCTCCTCTCCTCTCCGCGAGGCAGATGGGAGCCATGGCTTATCCCTTACTCTTCTGCCTTCTGCTCGCTTATCTGGGATTGGGAGCTGTTGGCGCCAGCCGTGACCCTCCAGGACGTCTGGATTCCCCTCGAGAGAGGACCCTGAGGGCGAAGCAGCACGCCCAGCAGCCGGCTCGAGCCTCTGCCTCGGACCCCTCGGCTCCCTGGAGCCGCTCCACCGACGGCACCATCTTGGCGCAGAAACTCGCCGAGGAGGTGCCCATGGACGTGGCCTCTTACCTCTACACCGGGGACTCCCACCAGCTGAAGCGAGCCAACTGCTCCGGCCGCTACGAGTTGGCGGGCCTGCCGGGGAAGTCGCCAGCTCTAGCCAGCTCCCATCCCTCCTTGCACGGGGCGCTGGACACGCTGACACACGCCACCAACTTCCTCAACATGATGCTGCAGAGCAATAAGTCCCGGGAGCAGAACTTGCAGGACGACCTGGAATGGTACCAGGCACTGGTGCGGAGCCTCCTGGAGGGCGAGCCCAGCATCTCCCGGGCGGCCATCACCTTCAGCACCGAGTCGCTGTCCGCGCCAACCCCCCAGGTCTTCCTCCAGGCCACGCGCGAGGAGAGTCGCATCCTGCTCCAGGACCTGTCCTCCTCGGCACACCACCTGGCCAACGCCACGCTGGAGACCGAGTGGTTCCATGGTCTCCGGCGCAAGTGGAGGACCCACTTACACCGCCGTGGCTCAAATCAGGGGCCCCGGGGCCTGGGCCATAGCTGGCGGCGCAGGGACGGGCTTGGCGGGGACAAGAGCCATGTCAAGTGGTCTCCGCCTTATCTGGAGTGCGAGAACGGAAGTTACAAGCCCGGGTGGCTGGTCACTCTCTCTGCTGCTTTCTACGGGTTGCAGCCTAACCTGGTCCCGGAATTCAGGTAGGGAGAGAAAAAGGCAAGAGCAAAGCCTTCCTTCCGGTTTCGCGGGTGGGTGCGCATGGGGGAGAAACACTTGGCTGTGACACACAACGCCTCCTACCCTCATAGCAGAGACCCAGGCTGAGGAACACCCCACGTGGGCGCATGTGCTTAGGGACAAGAAGCCCCCAACGTTTGTCAGCTCCAGGCTCTCAGCGAAAGCCTTTTGCTTGGATGGGATGTTTCTCTGCAAGGGGCATGTGGCAGGGAGCACTTGGTAGAGCTGAGAGAAACCTCTGATGCCCAGTGCTTCTCTTCAACCCTCGGGAGAGCAGGGAGGGGAGTTCCCTATCAGGGGTGATGCGACAGAACCCAGCGAGCTCAGGGTGTGCCTGCCTGGCGCAGAGTGGTGCGCATCGCATGAGACAAGAGAAAAGGGAGCGGGAGAAAGACAGAGTTCCTCATTTCTGCCACTTTGGCGTAGCATCTGCCTACTTCCTAAGTGTGCAGTTTGGGGCACCAGTCTGTTGTTACTCAGTTACCAGAGCGAATAATTAAAACAGTGCAATTCCCTCAGCAGTTCTGTCCCTTCAGTAGTGAGTCAGTCTCAGCAGCATCCAGACTTTGCAATTTAGTCATTGTGCTCCTCTACCCATCTCCCTCCTCCCCCCAGCCCAACTCCCCTTTCTTGGTCCTCTTTTTCTCTTGTTCTCTGCCAGGCATACCTAAGGGTTCTCCAGCTCCTGACATACTCACACATTTTATAAACGCACCTGGTTGAGTGATCTTAGGCAAGGAGGGATTCGTTTTGACTGAATTCACTCAGGGAGCTTAGAGGAAACTTAGTTCTGTATTTTCTGTCTCAGGGTACAGTACTGTGGGAAGATGAGATTGCAAATTAGCAGGTGGTAACTTCTCCCCTGGGAAGTTACCTTTGAGGTGAAGAATTTCTAGAAGTAGCCCTTAAGAGTGGATATGAGGAAGGAACAGAAAGATTAGAGACTCCAAAGAGGGTCTGAGAGAGGGCCACTGATTGACTGTGATCCTCCTCAATTCCCAGGATGGAAGGCTCTGGAAAGAAGGTCTTGGGGGTTGAGGTTGCTTCTGTACTTTTTGGGAACCTGGGCAAAACTTGTGTGTGTGTCTTAATTCTCTGTTTGGCAGAAGGACAGGATGCCGACCTGGTGAAAGATACCAGGCCAAGTAATGGGTGGGCAAATGGGGAGAGTCAGAAAGCTTGTCTGTCTTGGTACTGTCATTTACTGCTGAATGACCTCGAGCAAGTTGCTTAACCTCTCTGGGCCTCAGCTACTTATCTATCTCTAGGGAGCCATCCAGTTATAAAATTCTGTAGCTTTTAATGGTGGCAACACTTGAGAAGGCATAAATGAAAAACAACCCCCTTTCTCTGATTCTATATGACCATATTAAATGTTTGTGTGTGTGTGTTTCTATCTCTTTTAAAGATCTTGTCTTAAACCAGAGTAACTCTTTCCTACTTTCAGGATAATCTCATTCCCTCCCAATTCCTGCAGGATCCTCTTAGTAAGGGCTGAGGCAGCTGGGAGTCTCTGCCACATTGTTTGCTCAGAAGAGAAAAGATCAGCAGATGCCATCCCCTGCCAGCAAATTGTGGATTTCAGATAAAACTTTTCAGGGAGTCTTAGGTCCCAGGATTGATCTATCTATCTATCTAACTATCCACCTAACATTTACTTTATGTCAAGCTCTGTGCTAACTGCTTTGCCTGCATTATCTTGATTAATCCTCAAAACAACCCTATGAGTTAAGTTTTATTATCTTCCAGAAAAAGAACCTGAAGCACAGAGAGGTTAAGCTTCTTGCCCAAGATCACAGAGCAGTTAAGTAGTAGAGCCAGGATTTGAGTTCATTTCATACTTTTAACCACTGTGCTAAACTCTTATGAAAGTGTCCTAGGAGTGCTGCATACAATGCAGCTGCTGCGTAAAAATATAGTATTTTCAAGGCTCAGACATGGGACTAGGGATGAGAACCATTCATTTTCAGAATTCTCTCTCTTAAGGCTCCGAAAGCATAGGTCACCTAAATGAACTCAGTGCCTTCTGCCAGCCAAGATGAAAGGCTGAGGACACAAAGGGTCTGAGGTTGTGAGGGCTCACATGCCCCCTACCCATTTTTTGGGTTGTGTTCAGAAAATAGTTTGTCTCCTCTGGCTGAGTCTCTTTAAGTGCTTTCATAGTCATCGATGGTGTTCTTTAGCCAAGGCACGAAGCCAGGCCACTTAGTGTCTGGCTCTCTACAGAAGCTGGCTCGTCCTGGCAGCATGCATGAAGAGCAGAATAAGTGCTCTCCTGTGAGTGCTTTTGTCTCATGTCCTGTGCCCCTTGAATGCTGAATTGAGGATTCGCACAGATGTTAATTATAGAAACTGGAAGAAATCTTAAAGAGATCAGACTGTTCCTCCTGTTGTTTCATAGATAAAGAAAGAGAACTAGAAAGGTGAAGTGACTTGTCCAATAATCACATATCAAGTTTGTAGTAACAACAGAAATAGGATCCAGGCCTTCTGCTTCTGGTTCACACCTATGCTTGATATGTACATACCTAGAGCATCTTTCTGTGGCTCTCTGCACCTTTGTCCATAATGAATGTTGGGGGACACAGTTTATGCTTTATCATCTTTAAGGACAAAAAAATTAGCCCACAGAACACAGCTGTTGATTTTTAAAAAACATTACATCGTTTATTTCAGACATTTGAGATAATATTTAAATGGACCTTTCCTGTCTCTTCATACTCATAAAAGGCAAAGGTTTTTTGTTGTTGATGTTTTATTATCTAAGATGTACAGTCTAAAATTCTATAATGTAGGTGAATAAGGTAGTACAGGTATGGTAACAGGGTAAACCTCAAATGAATTTTAGGGAAATGAGGATTAGGAGCTCTAATCATGATTTTAAATATATTTTGAACCTGTACAGTGTTATTTGCAAAAAGTCTTATCTGTAATGAAAAATCCATTGATAATGATTTCCTTATGGAAGAGAAAAGGAGGAAACACTTTGCAGTTAAAATTTTCATTTAAGATCAGTTAATATTTCCCCAGGTCTTGCTTATAAGATTCAAGCATTTAAATTACATTATATTTTATTTTTAGAGAATATAAGTCCAAAACATGAAATTCAAAAGTAATGTGGAAAACATGGTCAACTACTTGTTATATTAATGTTTATCACTGTAAAACACCTCTCAGAATAAATTTTATTCTCCTCTGTTTCTGAATGACACAAGTATCTTAAACTTTAAAGCCTAGCATAAGACTTACATGGAAAGAGAAGTTCATTGCTCATTTCTTTCTTTTCCAAAAATGGCCTTAGTTGCTCTGTCACTTGAGTCTTTTTTTATAGACCTATAGTATAAACATTTTAGTTCTCATCTTCCATCCTAGCAAAAAAAGAGAGAGCAATAATTTAAGGTGTACCCTAAGTTATTATTTTTATTTATCATATTAAGTTTGTGATGTTCTTGTCTCATCTTCTCATTCCATAAAGTGAAGTCCTTTGGTTTTGCATAGTAATTTTTCTTTGTGGAACTTAAAGTACTATAAACTTGGATCTCACTCTGCTGAAATCATAGATACCTTCCTGGTGGTGGCTGGAACTGTTCAGTGCCATATAGGATGGATATAAGATACTTAAGTGTTTGTTGAATTTAAATTAAAGTGAAGGAAGTTTGGGAATTAATTCTTTCTTGATGAGCTGAAAGTGACTTTGGAATTCATTTGGTTCCTTTCATCTTCTCATTTTACAGTGGAGGAAACTGAGACTCAAAGAGCTAAAGGAATTTGGTAGGGTGGCATAACTCTTTTGTAGTAGGTAGGGATTAATAGGAACCAATATATATGGAGCACCTACTATATGTCAGATGCTTTATATATACCACTGCATTTAATTCTTAGTATTCTCAGGTAGTTACAGCTTCAGAAAACTTGAGCAACCTGCCCAAGGTAACACAGCTAATAAATTAGGGAGCCCAAATAAAATTTAGATCTGTCTAGTAAAGAGGCTTGTGTTGTCTTTCTACTACCCTATGGTGCTGTCTTTTGGTTACCAATTTTGTTTTCACCTTATTAAAAAATATAACTTGGTGATGGCTTGAAATAATTAATATAGTTAGCCAAATGATATACACTTATTCTTTTTCAGCTAATCATATAATCAAGTATGTTGTGTAGTGAGAAGAGTATTAGACTTGAATCAGAACTTTGCCTCAAGTCCCAGTTTGTTTCTGACTGGCTGTATTACCTGTCTGGAAATCAGTTTCTGCATAATTAAAAGGTGGGAATGGACTGGATGATACCCAAATACATTTATAACTCTTTGTTCTATGAGTTTTTTTTGTTTGTTTGTTTGGAATTCAAAATTCTTACTTTTGGAATTCAAACATTTTTAATGTAAACATTTCCCTTTAATGTATTAATGAAGACAGATGACGATGTTTTTTTGTTGTTGTTGTTGGTGGTTTTTTTGTGTGTGTGTGAGGAAGATCAGCCCTGAGCTAACATCCATGCCAATCCTCCTCTTTTTGCTGAGGAAGACCGGTCCTGAGCTAATATCTAGTGCCAATCCTCCTCCTTTTTTTCCCTTTTTCTCTCCAAAGCCCCAGTAGATAGTTGTATGTTGTAGTTGCACATCCTGCTAGTTGCTGTATGTGGGACGCCGCCTCAGCATGGCCAGACAAGCGGTGCGTTGGTGCATGCCTGGGATCTGAATCCGGGCCGCCAGTAGCGGAGGCGCACACTTAACCACTAAGCTACAGGGCCGGCCCCCAGTTCTGAGTTCTTAAGTGGCCTATCCAAATGGTCAACAAGTAAGCTTTGGAAACAGGGCTTTGGAAAGAGGGTTGATACACATAAATGCAGCACCTTGTGGAAATGACATTGATGGCGAAGTAACATGCAAAGAGGAAACCAAGTAAATGTTAGACCTGCTGTTTGGTAAAAAAGGCAACAGGGCAATGAAGGAAAGATCACAATTATG